AAGGGAAATTAAAGCAACACTGATAATAAACATTGCATAATCATAAATTTTCTCTTACCTGGCATAATATGGTGTGAAAAATACAAAATATGGAGTCAGAGAACTTTGTCAAAATTTTAGATGTCCTTACCCTCAAGGATCTTACATTCTACCAGGAAAGACACATAGGTAAATACAAAATAGATACAAGATAATTTTTGAGGGAGAATGCACTAGCACTAGGGAGAAGGAAATTGGGAAAAGCCTCTTATTGAAAAGGTAGCAATTGAGAATCATAGGAAATTGGGGGTTTTAAGCAGCAGAGCTAAGAAGAAAGTAAATTTTAACATGAAAGATAGCCAGTGCAAAGGCATGTAGACTGGGAGACAGAGTGGTATATATGAGCAACAGGAAGAATGTCAATATGGTTTGGTTATAGAGTATGTGAAGAAAAGTAATGGATAACAAAACTGGAAAGACAACGTGGGGGCACAGCGTGAAGTGCTTTGAATGACAAAGGAGTTCAGTTTTGATCCAAGGAGTGAAACATAGTTGCTAGTATTTATTGAGTGACTTTGGCAGCTATGTAGATGATGGACAGGAGAGGGCAGACTTGAAACAGGGAAATCAATTAGAAAGCTAGTGGTGACTGTGTGAATAGGGAGAAGAGGACAGAGTAAAAAAAATCTCGTGGAGGTAGAAACAGCAAGATTTGGCAACAGTTTGGGAAAGTGTCATAAGAGATAGTGAGGCACCAATTATGACATCAAAGCTATGAACCTAAGAGTCTAGAAAAAAAAATGATCCTATGACTAAGTGATTGTTAAGATACCTTTTAGCTCTAAATTCATGATCTTTGGGTGTTGCATAAAATATCTTCAATTAATGCTAATTGAAATTGTGGGTATGAGGTAGAAAAAGAATGACTGCATGTCTTAGGCCTTAGATTTTTTTTTTAATAATACAGGAGAGTCAGTTGAATTTTGATGTTCCATGAAATACCCACTCATTTCAGATATTAAGTTCCTACTGTACATAAGTCCTAATGCCCCAAGAGAAATCCAGTACATTCTTTTCCCCCACCTGTTCAAGTCACTGTCCATTTTTAACATCTGTCCCAGATATTCATACTCAAGGAATTGCTTATGATTTTGACATATACAAAGTTCTCTTAATGAAATCAAATATCACCCTGAAACAAAGGCCCATCTTTTTAATGTCAATATTCTTTAGGTAAATAAATGAATGAAAACGCACTTATTAGGTGCCAGGCATTGTGCAGAATGCTGGGAATACAAATAGAAAAAGTGTCATAATCTCTTGTCTCAAGGAGCTTCACAATCTAATTGGGAGAGTCAATGAGCAAAAGAAAATTCAGCTTTGGGTTAGACAGAAAGGTCCACTAACCCTAAAGATCCTAAAGCAGGGTAGATGGCAAGGCCCAGGGGTCCTTAGGTTACATCAGCAGGTCAGACTATGGTATCAAGGACCTGTATACCTTAGAAGAAAGAGAAATGGTAAGACCTAGAGAACCTTTGGAGACTATGACAAGGCAGATGATGTGAAAGAAGTGGTCTCCCCTGATAAAGTAATTCCAGCCCTTCCCCTACAAAGAACTATGAGATTATGTAAATAAAGGCTGTATTTTATTCCCTTTCTTGCTGGCAACAACAAAATAAGCTTGACTGATTCTATCTTGAAAGAGGCCTCCACTATCTTAGATATTTACCAAAAATTCAGGATATTCTGATAAGACTAAGCTTAGAGAAATGCATTTTTTCATAGAAACAAACCTGACTTTAGCAACTCTTGTGACCCCAAGGCTTGTGCACATCTTTTAATTTCCTTAGTGCACTAATAAATTTCTTTCCCTTTCAGCCTGGCTACTCAATTTTTGCCACCCTCTCCCCAATCTTATAGATCTCTTGGTGGGTGAGACTCTCTTTGGGCTCTCATGTAACCCAGGCTAGTAAATTACCATGATGATAGTTAAAACCTACTAGTCTTCCATCTTACCAGAAGAAATAAAGTTGATGACTCCTTGTTCATCCAAGCCATGTAAGCAATTAAGCAATCTGAGTGGCTTAGTAATATACAGTGTCCCAAGAATTAAAGTTATAAGTCACTCAGAGACATGATGGATGAGCATATGGTGGGTATGAGCATGCTACCATGTATCACCACAAAGACATATTATCAGAAAATTGAGTTTGTCTGTTATGTGTGGAAAGTGAAGGAAAACCAAAAGGATAACCAGCCCATGAACTTTACTGATATTCACACAAAGTCAAGAGATCAAGAGGAGGATCCTCACTCAACAGATTGAGTGGATCCCCTGTAGAAGATTTATGAGAGGCTATGGGCTTCTTGGGATAAGAAAAGTCACTACTGTACCCATTGGAACCAGCCCCTCCATAATATAAGTATTTCTTTGACACCTTTTTTTTTTCTTTCTGACTTCATTGAATATTGTGGTGAAATGGAATTGAGAGATCACTTGGTTCCAAGTACACAAAAGACAGAATGAGCCCCTCTGCCTCTTCCTGGTCATCTGGAGGTCACTTTTCTTACTAATTCACCAGCATATCTCAGTCCCAGACCCACTCTAAGCTAAGGGCTCATCAAAATCCAATGCTAGTAACATCAAAGACAAAAAGTAACCAGACCTACTGGGTACAGAGGAGATTCTATCACCCCTTATCTCTGAGTGCTGCTACCTTCTCTTCCACTGTCTTTTATCCAAGAAAACAAAACAAACCTATATGTTGTCTCAATAGAATTGGTTCTGGAGGCAGGGGGCCCATCTCAACTCAGCTTCTCAATCTGTCTATGACTTAACCTCTCTGGGTCTCAACTTCCTCATCAGTAAAATGAGGTGAGTTAGATGACCTCTAAGTCTAGTGATATCTTTCGCCTGCCACACCTGCTCCTGACTATTTTAAAAACTCACCTTCTTGGCTGCCTCAGTGAAAATGGCTTCCCAGTAAAACAGAAAAGAACAAAGGGGAAACTTCTCAAGTAAGTAAGACTTCTTATTTACATGCATATAGCAAACTGAAGGTATTTGGGGAGGTCTCATTTATGACACATCCTCGCCATGCAGCTCAGAAGGAACATTAGGCCATGTGGAGCTTGGGGTTCTCTCTCTTGTTCAATGCCCTCATTTCAGAAATGAGTTACAAAGGCCTATAGAGCAGCTAGTTGGTGTAGTGGATATAGTGTCAGGATGTAAGCCATGAAGATTCATCTTCTAGAGTTCAAATTTGACCTCAGACACTTACTAAACCCTGTTTGCCTCAGTTCCTGTAAAATGAACTGGAAAAGGAAATGGCAAGCCACTCCAGTATTTTTGCCAACAAAACCCTAAAATGGGATCGTGACTGAACACCAATGACAAAAACTAAAGTCGTTAGCAGGTAAATAATTTGCCCAAACACACATAGATAATAAGAATCTGAGTTTTGAACCCAGATCCTCTGTCTTCAAATCCAGTGTTCTTTCCATTATTCCATGGGACAGATGAGGCAGGGGTGGGCTGTTCAAATTCCACCCTTTATTTTTGGAAGATCCTGAAGCCAGGACCTACATAGACCTCAACTCTACTTTTCTAGTTCCACTTCAGCTTTGGGGAAAAAAAGTTAGCAGTTCAATGAGAATAAAATTGAGCCTCACCCCTTGAGATGGTGTGATGCCTGTCTGCTGATGATTTCTAAGACTGAGGACAAAAAAAAAGAAGAAAGTCTGAAAGGGTCCAAAGCACAAAAAATTTCTGAAGCATTTCTATTAGACTACTTCAGCAAAAAACCCTCTGAACGTTATGTAGTCTCCAAAAGCCCAGGTGTATTCATTTCTTACTAGGACTTATACATCAAGTGAATAAGAAGTAGATCCAGGTGTATATTTGAAATATATTAAGGTTGGAAGGACTCTTGCATAACCCAAGGAGTTTTATTGTTTTGATTCGGTTTTTGGTCACTCTATGACCTCTATATGAAAAGTAATTACCTCATGTAAACTTTGGTTCAGAATCACAGCTTCTCCCTTACTAAGACCAGGTCCAACCTTGAAGTCTTCTTAAATATTCTATGCCTTATTTCTTTCCTATCTCAGAAACATCTGAATTTGTCTGATTTCCTCCATTAAGAGTCCTCAGTTCCTTTGGAAACATCCTTCTAAAGTGCAGAACATAATAGAAGTTTATACCAATGCATGTCAAGAATAGTTCCATCCACAAAGCTCATGGGACAGCTAGTCAAGTCCCCATTGTGTATTCTCCTGGGATGTGTTCTAGGGTCAGCTGTCTTCCTCCTCTCTGAGCCTTGTTTTCTCACTTATTCTGGTACTTTTTCTCAGTCTATATCCCTGTTTCTCAGTTAGCTATGATAGCCAACAGCTGCTGCTTTCACAGCTGGCTCTCATTCTTCATGATTACTACCCTGGAAAGCTTCTTCTTCCTTCTCCCCAAGCTCCCGCCCTGCCACCCCCTACTCCAGGCTGGTTTTTTTTTTCCATGCACATGCAAATTAGGGTTTGTCTTCCTCCCTGTGCATGTGGAAGTGTGAGTAAAATGGGCTGTCCCCATCCTCCTAGAATACTACAGCCCACATCAATCGCAGGATCACAGTCTATAACTAGAAAGGACCTTAGAAGTCATCTAGCTTAGACCTTTCATTTTGCAGATGAGAAAACTGAGGCCAAGAGAGGATAAGAGAATTTTCCAAGGTCCCGCAGGTAGTAAATGACAAAGGCAGAATTTGAAGGAAGGTGACCTCTCCTCCCTGTATATGTCCATTGTACTTCAAGCCAATCCCCTTGAGCCACTACAATGCTTGGCGGCCCATGAGGGAAAAATTCCTTCTCCTTTAAAGTGTATGTATTTTCTATAGGCTGAAGGTTGGGTAATATGAACCGCAGAAGGAAATAGGGTGAAAATAAAATATGTATTGAGCTCCCACTATGTGCGAGGTATTCTGTTCATAAGTCTTGTGTTTATTTTTCATCTTCCTCATCAAGGTTCTATCATGGATTCTCTCACTGAGGCAAACAACATGCTTGCCATTACCCTTCTGAAAAAGCTTTGCAAAGAAAAAACAGAAAATGTGTTGTTTTCTCCCCCAAGCCTCTCATCTGCCCTGGCCACGATTCTCTTGGGTGCAAAGAATGACACAGCAGCCCAAATAGAACACGTAAGTATGTAATCAAAAAGGAAGGAAATTTCCACCCAGTGTAATTCCTTCCAAATAAACTGTCAGTGGCTGCTAAGTTATCCCCCTGCTCTCTTACAGTTAAATGAAGCACATTCTGGGCTGGTGGCATTTTTAAAATTAAATTTTGTGAACTTTTAAAATATTGAAAAGTTTTATCCTTTATGAAATTCTCTGGGTCTCTTATGGGGGTGGAGTTAAAAAAATATCTAACTGTAGTTACTCCAGACCAATATGCAAGTTACTTCTTGAAGCTTTGCTGAACTGGAATGGGGCTTCCTCCCAACCCCTTTCAAATATATCTTTGTAGAATCTTTGGGTTTCAGAAAGATATTTATACTATGAACTTAGAATCATATCTGAGACTCTAGGCTTGGAGTTTGAAAGATGGCTGTTCTGGTGGGCAACATCTCAGGAAGGTTTCGGTGAAATGGCCTGCTCCACTTCTTTCTTACACTTTACTTCTCCCCTTTACAAAGACTCTCAGCCAGTATTGAGTAATATCTCCCTCCTATCTTTCAAGGGTCTGACAATCTTTTATAATTTTCCTCTTTAACATCTTAAAATCAAATCTTAAGTTTTTTTTAAATTTTTACATCTCTCACAGACTTCTTATGTATAAATTTGATAACTGGTTACTCTACATAACTTTATTTTCTTAAATGCCAGTTACTTTTCCCTTCTAATTCTAACTGCATTTATTTTGACTGTGCAAAGAGTGTGGGTCTTTACAAAAGTTGACTTTTCTAAAGGCGACTTTATAAAAGTTGACTAGATGTTGGGCTGTAAAAATACATCAACAAATGCAGAAAAACAGAAATAGTAAACATACCCTTTACTGACAACACAAAATTAAAACCAGTAAATGCATTTGAAGAAAGGAATCAAATCTAAGTGGAGACTAAATAATCCTAAAGAAGGTGGATCAAAGAACAAATCTGATGATAGGTGTCTCTGTATTTAGTGAGGCTGGCCTTCAGGCAGACCTATACCTGCAGCCTGTCCCTGAAGCCTTCCCAGCTTGGTGTTAAACCTCCCAGAGTTCAGGATCCATTGGCATGGACTAAAAGAAATAAATCACCTAGCCCATCAGACACCGAAGCCAAGGAGCCAATGCAATAACATTTTGGACTTTAGTTAATTAGCATTTAGCATAAGCCAAAGACCTCCAGTGGTGAGAGACAGTGTTAGGTGTACATAGACCCACTTTTAAGTGCACACAGTAATTGTTCATACTTATATTTTGTTTTAACATAGCACTGCCAGGCAAGGTCTCCCAGTTGAGGTAACATTCAACAGTAATTTGACTGGACCTCACTTTCCTATACTGTGGGCAAACAGTGAAATGACTTTCTTGTATTCAGACCAGTGACACACCTAAAAATGGAACCCAAGCTTTCATATCAAAAGATTTGTAATCCTCCAAATTCCTGCTTTCCTCTAAACTTGTACAAATCTCTAGAGCATGAAGTTAAACTTTGTTTAAATATTTAATTTCAGCCTTTGTAACTTTTTGAGATGGTAAATTTAAGTACTCTTTGATATTCAAGTTCTTCACTTTTAAAGGCGTCTCTATTCTAATAATTCAGGCTTTGGTCAGTTCCACATGCACATTTTCATAAGAATCCAAAGCAACTGAACTTGACCATCTCCTGTTGGCTCTTTTTCCACTTCTGCATTCATAGACTCCTAGAACTAAAAAAGACTCTTTTCATCCCTTCATTAACATTTAAAATTTTTTTCTAATTACACGTAAAAACAATTTTTAACATTCATTTTTTAAAATTTTGAGTTGTAATTCTGTTCTTTAAGGAGTTCTCTCCCTCTAGACTTTTGTGCCTCTTTTTTACATTTGGCCTATTCTGTTTTTTAAGGTGTGATTTTTCTTCAGCATTTTTTTGTGTCTTCTTTACCACGCCGTTCACTTTTTTCTTTTCTTTTTTTGTTTTTGTTTTTGTTTTTTAGGCAATTGGGTTTAAGTGACTTGCCCAGGGTCACACAGCTAGTAAGTGTCAAGTGTTTGGTCTGAGACTGGATTTGAACTCAGGTCCTCCTGACTTCAGGGCCAGGGCTCTACCCACTGCGCCACTTAGCTGCCCCTTGTTCACTTTTTTCCCCACAATTTTGAGTCCCTTATTAAGTCCCTTATGAGTTACCTTTCATGTTTACCTTTTTATGTTTCTCTTGAGTTTTGTATTTGAAAATCAAATTTTCTATTCAGTTTCATTCTTCATTAGGAGTGCTTGAAAGTCTTCTAATTCATTGAACATCAATCCTCTCACCCCCAAAGGATTATACTCAGTTTTGCTGGGTATGTGATTTGTAGTTATAATTCTAGCTCCTTTGCCTTCTGAAATATTACGTTCCAAGCCCCAGCTCTAGAGGATCCTTTATTGTGGAGGCTGCTAAATCTTGTGTGACTCTGACTGTGGCTCCATGAAATTTAAATTGTTTCTTTCTGACTGCTTGCAATATTTTCTCCTTGACCTGGAAGCTCTGGAATTTGTCTATAATATTCCTGGGAGTTTTCATTTTGGGATGGCAATCTTTTAGATGGTAATCAGTAGAGTCTTTCAATTTCTATTTTACCTTTTGGTTCTAGCATATCAGGGCAATTTTCCTGTATAATTTTTTTGAAATATGATGTCTAGACTTTTTTTTTTATCATGGCTTTCAGGTAGTCCAATAATTCTTAAAATATTTCTCTTCAATCTATTTTCCAGGTCAGTTGTTTTTTTCTCATTGAGATATTTCATGTTTTCTTCTGGTTGTTTTTCTTTTTAAACTTTATTTTATTGTTTCTTGATGTCTCATGCAGTCATGAGCTTATACTAGTCCAATTTTGCCACTTTTCCCATCTAGCCAATTCTGCTTTTAAGAGAGTTGTTTCCCACAGTATTTTTGTGCCTGTTTTTTTTTAACCAAACTGTTAACTCTCTTTTCATAATTTGCTTGTAGCCCTCTCATTTCTTTTCCTGATTTTTTCCTCTACCTCTCTTTTTTCATTTTAAAAATATTTTTGAAGTTTTTTAACGAAGTGTTGTTGGGCTTGTGTCCAATTCATATTTTTCTGGCCTGTGCTCTGGTCTGTGAGTGACCACAAGCACTCTTTTCTGTCACAGAACTATGATCAGGTTCCCCAGTCCCCTGTAACCGCCATCCTTCATTATGCTTGTGCTCCTCCTCACCCTAGGACTATGACCTAGAATCATGTATGGGCAACACAACAGAGTCTGGCACCCAGTGCCGGCAAAGAGTCCCCTGCAATCTTCTTTTGATCAGCTGTCTGACCTTTTACCATCTGTGGCACTGCTGATCCAGTTGCCCTCGAGGCCTGTGCTGGACTCTGTTCTACTTCTACCCCAGTGAGACAGCCCTTTCCTGTTGACCTTTTAATTTATCTTGGGATGGAAAATTGTTTCAGCCCATCTTTTTGTTGGTTCTCCTGTTCCACAATTTGTTTTGAGGCATTATTTTAAAGTTGTTTGGAGGGAATTTTGGAAAGCTCTGGCAAGTCCTTGCCTTTACTCTGCCATCTTGGCTCCCCCCTACCCCATCCCTTCATTTTTTAGGTACAGAAGTAGGCTCAGAGAGGTCAAGTGGTTTGCCCAAAGTGAATTAGGTTCTTTATGTACTAAAGTTTTCACAAAGAAAATGATACAAACATAAGACAACGTACTTTTATTGAGGCATGTGCTGCTTACAGAAGGGAAGATATAAAGCCTACCTTGAGGTACTTGGGAGCAGGGGCAAAGAATGAAAGTTAAACATGGCCACTAGAGGGATCAGTATCGAGAGCCTAGAGCATAGTGGTCTTACAGCCATAGCAGGAAACAGGATGGGTGTCAGGGATGGTCTGCCACTGAGACTGTCTTTAGATTGTACACACACGGATTCTAGCAAGCTCTTCATCTCTTTGATATGGGAAACCTTTATAAGACAAAGCATCTCACATTCTCATGGTGGTTTTGCTTTTACATAAAAATGTCCTTAATCTTAAATCTTTACCATCTACCCTCCCCCCTTGAGGTCATGGGTGGGGAAACAGTTTTTGATCCACATGAAGCACTATTAAGGACTATTACAAAAGAGTAGTATGTCTTCTGCAAGGCTTTTTGCATGAGGGTATAAAAGTGAAAGGACAAAAAGCAGGGAGGAAATGTATAGGAAGCCTCACTTGTAGAGTGTCTACTATATTTTCAGTATAGATCAGACCACAGGGCCACACAGTGACTTCAAATCTTTTTATTTGTCCATCCTTGTTTCTTGGTTTATAGTTGTGATTGTGGCTTGATTTAGTATTTGTTAAATACCTATTGTATGCATGCTAATGAAAGCCAATATACATCATTTTCAGATGAAAAGGGAAGGTGGCCAACACTGCCATATGCTTCAAACTGGGCAAGGAGAATGAATGAGAAAAGACTAGTGGATTTTGATGGTCATTAAACTGCTGAAAGGAGAAGTCAAGAAAACCGTGGCTTTTAGGCCTGGCTCTGACATTTAATTTTGGACCTCATCTATAAAGGGGAAACAGTGGTGTTTATAATACTTTCAATGTCCATTTCACAGAGTCGTCAGAGGGGTAAAAAGTAAAGTGCTTTTAGGCCATGAAAAGATGACTGATGTTAAGTATAGTTTGAGTAATAAAAGGTGGAAACTGTCTTAAAATAGCATTAAAGGTTAGAAGGCATTAATTGGTAGAAAAAAAGATGGAGGTAGGGACTGGTCCATTTACTTGAGAAATTTGGCAACAGACAGAAGAGGACAGTAGTTTGAAGTAGCTTGGCCAAGTCAAGAAAAGGCATTTTCAGAATAAGAAAACTGAGAATGTTTGTAAGAAAAAAGGCAAACAACAATAAAAAGGGAAGGATGATCATTTTGAAGATCAAAAGTGAAAGGACAGAATACTGGAGGGGAAAAAATGAGATGGAGTATAATTTGTCCTTATGAAACTTATTTTGAATAGGCTACTGGGTGATCTCTTTACATTTCTTGCTGTAGATAATTTTTGCTGGTTGTCTCCCTCATTACATTGGAAGCTTCTGAGGGCAGGGACTGTTGGTGACTTTCTTTTTACCTCCAGCACTTAGCACAATGACTGACACAGTGAGTATTTTGTACATGCTTGTTGACTTAACAACACAGCTACTAGGTAGGAGAACCAGGATTCACACCTGTCTCATTAGTCTAAATTCCAAAACATACTTGACTTCTAGGTGGACCAGGGCAGACTTTGTTGGGAGAGGGAGGAGGATAACCTCAAAATTTTATTCCCAAGGGACAATTCTAATTGAAGTTTGAGTCTAGAGACTACTCTTGGCTTTGGTGATAAAGCTACTTATGTTTCATTTCTGTATATTTTTGTGTCCTCCAGAATGACATGGTTTGTTCTGTCAGATGTTTGGCTTTGCTGTATTTTTTCCCCTTAGGTAAAAGGTAAAAGCAGATATTCCCCTCCTAGGATATCATGCATATAGTCAATTTACAATTAACCAATTTTCTTCAAAGTTAAGCAAAAACTGCATGAAGCTTTCACTAGAAAGGTTTCTGTTTATTTGTGAGAAACCAACTGAAAAAGTTAATCTCCTCTTCTCCCCACCCCCTTTTCTCAGTTGTTTTCTTTAGACAGAGATGGAGATATTAACCTGGGTTTCCAGTCACTTCTCACTGAAATGAACAAACCAGTCACTTTGTACCTGCTTGGAACCACCAATAGGCTCTTTTTCAGAGAAAATGCTCTAAATTTCCTCCCAGTAAGTCAGGTGTTTCTGCTTAGTCATAAAATGATAATGAGGAATGGAAATGAAAACAGATATGTGATGAGGAAAATGGGATCTAAGTCTTAGATTAGATTAATCCTCTCTCCACTATACCTTGCTGCCCTTGCTTGGATACTATGTAGTATTAAAATGTAATTTGCATGAACATTGTATGGGAAAAATGAGATGGAATATAACTTGTCCCTATGAGACTTCTTTTGAATAGGCTATGAATTTATGGTTAAGACATGCTCTTGTTCATTGGGAATATATGTGTGTGTGTATGTTTGATAAAACATTCATAATAAAATATGTATATTCTAAATATTGTTTTTTGTCCCTTCTCAGAAATGGGTCAGAGAAATGTCTCTGACATTTTTTTTTCCTGCCCTCTTCCAGTCCTTTAAAGAATCCTGTGAAAAATTCTACAATTCGGTACTGGAAGATGTTTGCTTTTCTGAAGAGGCAGAGGCTGTCAGGAAACACATAAATGCTTGGGTAGCAGAAAACACTGAAGGTCACAAATTTATTTTTTCATGTTGGCTATGTCAGTAATCTTTTCAGGAACATCTGTATCAGTTGCTACATCTTCACAGAACTACAAAATCTCAGAGGCTTTCTAGTGCTATCTGCACCTTACCAAGGATCTCTTCCACAACAGACCTGACAAGGGGCCATCTAGGCTTTCCTTGAAGGTGTGTAGTGAAAGGTAGCACCCTACCCCATGAAATGGCCCATTTCATCTTTAGAGAGCTATGATCCTTAGGAAGTCGTTATTACAGAGAACCCAAATAGATCTCTCTGTACCTTCTGTCCTTGGGGGGTCTTGCATTTTTCATCTACGTCACAGCTGTCTCGTGGCTTCTGGCACCACCAGTGATCCAATACAATGATGCCTGTATAGTATCCTAGAAGCTCTACCATATTTTCTTACCTTCCTTTACTACAACCATCTCTTCAATAACTGATATTTGTGTCCTGTCCTCCATTCCAGACCTGATGTTGAAGTACTCACATACAATCATCCCTTTCCCACTTTCTATACTTTGCTCACCCTGTTTTTCCATACTGGGAATAGTCTACATTCTTCTACCAGTTTTTAGTCACTGAATGCTTCAGAATTTGTTCTTATTAAGTCAGATATAAGTTCCATCTGGTTGCGTCCAGCATATTTTTGGTTTATCATATTGTACATGTTTGCATCTCTTTCCTGTATTTATTGATGGGAAGGGAAACAAAAATGTCTTGAGCACTTAGTTTTTGCCACTATGTTGAGTGTTTTCCAAGTATTATCTCATTCAATCTTCACAGCATCCCTGTGTGGTAGATGGTATCATTATCCCCATTCTATTGTTGAGGAAACAGAGGCAGATAGAAGCTGTGATTTGCCCAGGGTCATACATCATAAGTGTCTGAAGCTGGATTTGAACAAAGGTCTCTTTGACTCCAGGCTCAATTCTTTATCCACTTTACCACCTAGTTGCCCCAGTAGATGATGGAGGACTAAGGTCTTAATCTAATGCCTCACCATGGAAGAGAAATGTTACCCTGGGTTCTTGGAGGTAGCACGATATCTAGAAGGTCCTGCTAAGCTGACAGTGTTTAGAGTCTGGGTCCAGTGAAAGTCTCCGATTTTCTGTTATCCAAGGGGCAATATAACTAAGTTCTGAGAAACTCATCTCAGAAGTTTGCCAACTAAGTTATGATTTTGTTAAGCCACATCAGTTTAAGAGGAAGTTGCAGTCTATGTCCATGGAGGGAACATAGATTCTTGAAACACTGAATTATGCATTTTATTTGCATATATTATGTGTCTTTCTATATCTCTTTTCTTGATTCAAGATTACAATTCCTTTGATAGTAGGGACTATATCCAATCAAAATCTCTGCTGTCTAATATAGTATCATTGGGTGATACAGTGAATAGAATGTTGAACTTGGAGTCAGGAAGACTTGAGTTGAAATCCTGGTTCATATCCTTATTAGCTATATGACCCTGAGCAAGCCACTTATTCCTTATCAGCCTCAGTTTTCCCTTCTGTTAAATAGAGACAATAACAGTACCTACCTGACAGGTTTGTGTGGATCTAATGAGATAATAGATATAAGATGGATTACATACTTTGAAATGTTGCATAAACTTGGGCTATTATTATTATTATACATGAAAGGGTTTTTTATGACAATGAAGTTTTTTTTTCTTAAAATTTTTGTTCAGAGCTAGGTATGTTGGCACATGTCTGTAGTCCCTGTTGCTGAGAAGGCTGAGGATGCTGGATATCTTAATCTCATGAATTCTGAGCTGCAGCAGGTGTAAAACAGATTAATTATCTACACTAAGTCTGACACCAATAAGGCAAGCCCCAGTAATAGAGGGCTACCAGGTTGCCTAAAGGGAGGGGAACCCATCCAGGTTGGAAAAAAATGGAGAAAGTTAAAGCTTTCATGTTTTTTCAAAGCTTTTCATGCTATAGCATGAGAAGCTATAGCATTTCAAGTCTGGGTAAGATAGGGAGGTTTATCTCTTTCATTCAGATATCAGATTAACAGAAACATAAAACATCTGGTGCTCAGTCTAGGATTTTTAATCTATGCCATGGCAAAGTTAACCAACAGATGTATGTCTAAGAATGAAACATTTTCTAAATTTCTTAAAGGTAAAATTTTAGAGGCTTTACCTGAGGATTCCGTCAATCCACTTAGCCTATTGATCTTTGTGAATGCTATCAACATAAATTTAAAATGGAAGACTGATACCGAACCTATGAAGAGAGTCCATAGAAGTGATGCCCGCAGAAAGGTAGGGTGAAACAGGGAAGGGGAAGGAAGGGATTTACAGATAACCTAGAACTGTCATGAGGGAATATATATTGAAAGCAATTGCAATATGCTTTTATGTGAGAAGATAAATGAATGGTTTAAAAATTAAAAAAAATTTAATAAGCTATTTTTGCTTTTTGCCTGCCTCTTTCCATAATCTGGCTTTGATTAAGTGTTCATTTGTTTCATTTAAACAGATGCACAGAATATCACAGATTATGGTGAAGGAAGAGGGATTTCTAGGATTCTATATAGAAGAGCTAGGTGCTAATGTTTGTATAAGTACACATAATAGAATGGATTGGAATATTATCTTAGTGCTTCCTGTTGATGATGGCAAAAAGGTAAGGCTTGAAGGATACAATGACAACTTGGCATTCTTAAATGTTCTTATTCTAATTTTTCTTTTCTTATTTTAGAGCTGTTACAACAGACATTGGATATGACTTCCATTCTTCCATGCAGATCTTTCAAAAGGCCAGAGGTGTAGTAAATTTTTTTTTTTAATACCAACTTAGTTCCTGGTGTAAGGTACTGTTCTTTATCACAATACTCAAAAAATTGTTGGGTTTAGGAAAAAAAAAATTGAATTTATTTGCTCAAAAAGAGAGATATTACCTTCATGCAAAAGAAAAAGCAAAGGGAGAGAACCTTCCTTAGGGATGAAATACCTTTAGGTTAGCTGTAAGGACAGGAGTCAAGTAAGAAAAATATAACATTTTATGAGTTTATGAAGCATAGATTTAGCCTGAAACTTGTAGAAAAATCTTTGGTTTCTGAATCCAGAAGGTACCCAAAAATGAGTTCAAACTTCAACTCAGAGACTTATTAGATGTGAGACTCTAGGCAAGTCACTTAACCTCTGCCTATCTCCTTGACTGTAAAATGGGCATAATAACAGCACCTACCTTGAAGGGTTGTTGTGAGGATCAAATGAGATATTTGCAAAGAACTTAGAGTGCCTGGCACGTAACAAGTACTAGATACATGTTTATTTGCTTCTTTTCCCCTTTTCCTTTAGAGGCAATATCAGTTATGGGGGGTACAATGACTCATAACCACACACACACACACACACACACACACACACACACACACACACACACACTCTCCCTCTCTCCCTTTTCCCCTTTCCCTCGAGGTAACTGCTTTGTATCTTGAGTATTTTCTTTCAGTTGTGGATTTCAAGGTCTAAGCCTTTCTCCTGCAAATGAAACATCCAGTCTCATCCAGTCTTATCCATCACCAGGCACTGTTTCTATCTCTTCTCTACCAGTTGAAAGTAAAGCTAGACTTTTGGCAAAACTGTCAAGTCTTGTCCTCAGCTTCTAGCTTCCTATTTCTAAACTCTCTCAACCAATATAGAATTTTCTCCACATTTCAAAAGTAAAACCCTCTTTTCCTTCTATCAAAGCCAGAGACAAATCCAATGTTGGTCATTCTAGTTGTCAAATGAAGGTAATGAATGAAGGTAACTATATCCTGTTCAAATAAAAGTACAGACTTACTTCATTATTTTATTCCTTTGACCTCTGCTTAAGGATTGAAAATGGTCTTGTCACAAAACAAATTTCTGGCAACAATAAGCATTTGGAGAGATGAACAGGAATAAGTTTTTAGGGATCCCTGAAATGATTCAAGGCCTGTCCAGTGGGATCTCAAGATAAACCAGACAGCCATTTGAGGATGACTTAAAAGGGAGAGAATATGAAGTCTCTTAGATCTAGACAACTTTCAACTGATGTTGCTAAGGTTCTTAGAAAAATTTCTCGGGCTGAAGAAGCATCATTAGGTATTTCTAGGTCCAAAAGTCCACTTTTAATTGACAGTCTGCCAAGAAGACCTCTTTTCTCCAGACATTTGTTAACAGAAGCAGTGATTTCTGGCAAGTGGAATAGGCCTGGCAGGCTGGCAGAGAGAATAATGGGGCAAAAATGCTGTGGCAGACCTATCTTTCATGCATTCTAAAGAAAATAATGATATTTGTATTTATCAAAGAACACAACAGACATTAATAGATAATAATTTCCCTTTATAAAGAAGGGATAATTAAGAGATTATCTGGAAAAGTACCCATATACATGAATTCAACACTGTGTCAGAAATAGCAGTAGCCTTTTCATTTTCCATTTTTTAGGCTAAGTTGAGATCACTGAAGGAGAGAATGTAAAGTATTTATCAGATCTTAGGAAAATCGCTTCAACCTTCTGGTTCTCGTTCCCCTCATTTGTAAAATGATGGTTTTGATGTGGTAACTCCATGCTCTAAATCTATTAATCCTAAGATCCTTTTTATTGCCATTATTTTGGCAACTGGATCTATTATTTCATTGACAAAGAAAGCCACCATCTGGTAAACTCCCTCTACTAGGGAAGATCAACACCTAATCCGAAAGGTAGAATGTTAACAGAGTTGCCTGTGGTACTGAGAAATTAGAGTTTGTCCAGATAATCCCTGTCAGAGATAAGACTTGAACTAATGTATCCAAATTCCAAGATAAGCTTTCTATTTACTATACATCCATATACTATATATTTACTTCATTGTCTCTTGGATCCATTTTTTAATATGGAAAAAAATTAGGCAAGGCAAAACAACTGAATGAGAATTTAATAAGATCTTGCTATGTTTCAACAACTGTGCTAAGTGCTGGGGATACAAAGAAAGAGAAAAACAGTTTCTGCTGTCAATGAGCTCAAAATCTAATGGAGGAGAAAGTAAACCCAAAACCATACAGTAGTATATAAAGATATGTAGGGTGATAGATATGTGGTTTCTAGCAACAATTCTCTAAGTGCCTGCTATGTGTAAAACAGAATAATTGATCCATTGCGTTCTCTCTTCTCAGCTCTCCTGCCCACTGTTAAGCATTAAAGCATATAGCAACAGAAAACTTTAAAGCTCTTATGCTTTCCTCAATCCTTTTTCCCCTTGTGTGGTTATATCTATTTAAATATAGTCCCAGGAGATAGTGATGGTTGTGTTTTGGGAGATGAGGGCATTGGCTAGGCGTTGGAGGGAGGGAGGCAAGGGAGGCATCCAGCATAGTGTGTTTGACCAACATGCTCAAAGGGCAGCAGATCTGGGAAGTTATTTTCTGGCTGCATAGTGAAAGAAGTATCAACATATGGGGCTATGCAGGCAGCTTGATCTTGGGATTTTCAATTCTTTTCTTCCAGATGGAAGAAGGGCTTACCTATGAAACATTTATAACCTGGACAAAACCAGAAGCAGTGGACTTGATGGAAATTCTTAGGAAACAATTGTTCCTCCCCAGAATCAAGATAGAGGAGTCTTATGACATGGTTCATATTCTCTGTAGTTTGGGAATATCTGATGCCTTTCAGGAGGATAAGGCTGACTTTTCTGGACTGTCAACACTCAAAGATTTGCACCTATTAAGTGTCTTTCACTTATCTTTCCTGGAATTCACTGAAGAAGGTATCAAAGCATCTGCTGCCACTGTAGCAGTGGAGATACCAGGAAATGCAAAGGGAAAAGGACTTAAGACTCCTAGTTTATTCTTTTTCTTTATCTGGAGCCATAAAATTAAGAGCATCCTGTTTTGTGGCAGAGTTTGCATTCCTTAAAGTGATACACTCATTCTCCCCAAAGCGTAGCTATTTCTGCTGCTTCCCCACCTCTCTCTTGTTAAGCTGCATAAGGATGCTATGTGTGTATGCAATTCATTGTAAACTTATCAATGCAGTGTGATAGGAAAGAAATATTAGTAAAGTACTTCATTATGAAACATTGCATATAGACCATAAAACCCTATACATTTTTGCCCTTAATAAAGTATACCCACTTACTGGCAGACTCTAGGGTCAAGGTCAGGAGTGCAAAACTGGCTAAAATGGAAAAAAAAAGTCTATGCTAGGGTCACTTGGGTAGGAGTGTCTAAGGCTATTAAATAGCAAATATATTCCCCTCTTTTTTAATGCTCTTCTTAACAGATAATACTTTTATAAAATCCTTGTTGGTTGATCACTAAGTCAATCAATCTAGCAAACACCACTATTTTGAGCACCTGTACCTTTGCTCTCTTGAAATTAAATAATATATGCTATGTGTGACTGTGAGTTCTATGCTTTCAGCAACAAGAAAGCCCTTATGATTGATTAGTAGGAAAGGTGAGGTGAGAGCCCAATTTCTCCTTGGAATCTTTGAGAGATTTTGCTTAAAGAAACTATTAACAGTTGACATACCTAACTGGTTATGAGTCAAAACAGAGAAAGAAAACAATATGCACATATCTAGAATATGGATGAGTGTATATATAGTTACATATCTATATATCTATTTATACCTACATCTATATCTCTAAGCTGTCAGTAAGCATTTGTTAAGTGCGCTTTATATGCCAGCCACTAAGGCAAGTGCTGAGAATATAAAGAAAGACAAAAGACAATCTCTGCTCTGAAGGAGCTCACCGTCTAAGTGGGGAGACAACATGCAAACAACTATGTACAATCTGTGTATATATATGTAAATACACACATACACACACATACATATATACACATATAATAAATTGGAGATCAACAGAAGGAGGTCTTTACATTAATGGAGACTGGGAACTACTTCTTGAAGAAAGTGGATATGTAGCTGGAACTTAAAGGACGCCAGGGAGGACAGGCAGTGGAGATGGAGAGAGGGTAATTTCCAGACAGAGGTGACAGCCAGTGAAAATGCCCATAAATGAGAGAAAATGTCTTGAGTAAGAGCAAGGAGGCCAGTGTCACTAGAACACAGAGTATATGGAGGAGAACTAGGTTATAAAGGGCTTTGAAAATGCAAAAGATGTTGATTTTATATTTATCCTGGAAGTGATAGTGTAATGCAGAACATTACTTTACCATTTAGGTAGTAGAACCCTTCAGGCCATGGAAAACTCCAAATTCCTTAGCAAGACCCTTATCTGGCTGCTCAGGTCCTAGCCCTCAGATCATATCTCTGGAAGCCTCCATTGTAAAGAAAGTTTGCAGAGCATTATCATATCTACACAGAGGGAGAAGGGTGTCCTTGACCAGCCAGACTTCAAAGATCCATCCCCCTCCCTGTCCTGTATACTCCCTATATAAACCCTAGCTCGACCCCTGATGGGGGCTGCTTGATTTGGATGTGAATATCCCTGGCAGCCACGCGCTAATATAATAAAGTCCACAATTTAAAATTAGCCTGGGTGGTCAACTCGCTAATTTCTCGGTATAACATTTTGAAGGCCCCAGCGAGATAGCAGCCTACCGTGTCGCTGCAGAGACCCACCTGGAGAGGACATCGGCGTCGGGAGGGGGGGAATTGTTCTGTTCTGACTTCTAGGGGAGCCGGCCCCTGATGATGTTCCAGGGCCCCAGGACTCAGGACTAGGAGAAGCCTCCCTCCCCGACTCCGACTGTACCTCATTTCGGCCCTCGTGGACCTGGTAACCCTCTGGAGGTAAATGTTTGCAAACCTGTTTTCTGGTGGGGAACGAGTGCCAGACGTGGCAGAGCACCTAATTAGTGCCTCAATCCCCCAGGCACCCCGAGACGTCGGGACTATGCCTGTATCTGGTTCCTGGTACCCGGTTTCTGGTTCCTGGTTTCTGTCTTAGTTCTGTTGGGCCCGTGTCTCGTTCCTGGTTTCTGTCTCAGTGTTGGTCTATTAGTTTATATGTGTAGAGATTGTGTTTTTAAGAGATTCTGTTTTGCAATCATCTGCCTGAAGCCACCTCTGTTTCATACTGAAAGACAGGTGTCAGACTGGATTGCAGACAGTTTTCTCCCAGACTTCCATTGGGAGGATGTGTTTGTGTTCAGGCTCTTATTGTTTGTCTGTGTCTGTGTTCTGCAATAATGGGGGGATACGGCCAGTACATCATTTCCCTCCCTTTTGGGTTGTTTGCAGCCAGACAGCCAAAGGCTGCAGCAGGACTCTGAAAAGTTGCCTTCATTCTCCCCCCTCCCTCCCCAGGTAACAGCAGCTTCAAAGCAGTGCGTGGATGGGAGAGGGAAAGAGAGAAGAATACTTTATTATTTAGGTTATATGGTTGGTAGAGGGCAAGTTGGGAAGGATTTTTGAAGTGTCAGGTCAGAATTAGAAAGGAATGAGATATGTACAGGTTTTAAGGGGATTTTAAATCATTAGAAAGAAAGGCAAGGAAGTTTAAGCATGTAGGAGAGAGGAGTGTGTGTAGAAAATTTGAAGGGAATATGATTTAGTTGCATGGTGTGACTGGAGGTTTTGAAAGTGAGAAGGTTTTGGGACTTTTGCATGAGTAATAGTTTCTCTCTCTCTGCATTCTAACTCTGGCCAAGTTTGAGTGTGGAGACAAAGAGAAAAGTTCTTGTGTACCAGAACATAGACAAATGGTTTATGTGCTGAGGACTAGGGCTTGCTGGGTTTAGTTGATATTTTCCCACGAGCCCCAGCTCATCCAAATTGGTAAATATGTGAGGTTTTCAATTTCAGCATTTGTTACACTGTTTTGCACTTAGGTACATTGAAGGAAACTCAGACGAGTGGATTGTTTTGAGTGCACAGTGAGGGCAGTTTGAGGAGAGATGAGGGAATTATGTCCACCCACCTTTCAGGCTAGATCCCCGGGTGGGTTCTTTTAAAGACTGGTCATTATGGGAAAGAAAAAGCAATCAGAATACTGGTCCAGTACATTTCTAAGCTTAACAAGGGTATTGCATTTGGGAATATATTTTTTCTACCCCTCCAAAACTAAATAAATAAATAGGAGAGAATGAATGGGTTAGAATAAACTTCCAAATTTTATTTGGAGGAAGTTTCACCTATAATTCTTATCAAATCTGTGTAAACGTTTTCTGTGTTGTGAAATTCCTGAGTAAATGAGAATTCTTGAGATAAAAATTGAGTAAATTTTTAAAGTTTGATAATATTTGTTATTGTGGTAATGTTCTTCACGCATTATAAAAACTGAATTTTTTTCTCTGTTTTTGACTAAGGAAATTTGATGTCTAGGAATTCTGTAACAACTAGGAATTTAGTTTGTTATGATACTTTGGGAAGTTATTTATGTTACTTGAGGACATTTTACATCAACTTAGTTTTAATGAATTCCATTTTTAAAGGTTTATTTTTACTTTAAGGTAGAAAGGAAAGATATCTATCACCTTAAAAATTTCTAACAAATGTTTTCATGAAAGTTTAGTGATTATTCCTTCTAACATCAGGATAAACTGTAAGCTTTTTTAGAAAGGGAAATACTTTTTACAAAGTAATGTTTTGCAAAATCTTTTTGTATGATTTTTAGAAGGCCTACTAAATTTCCATTTGCAAGCTAATTTGTTGCAATAATTTAATACTGATAACAATTATGTCTTAATCCACTGTGAATTTTCTAAGTTTCATTCCTATGTAAATTGTGTCCTTGAATTGGCCTTAAATGGGTGCTTTCAGAGAAACAGAGTCAATGGTTCCTGCTTCAGGTAGCATAAGAAAGGGCACTGGTCTCAAGAATGTAGGTTTGAAAGTTCAATGCCCCACTCTAAGTTTTTAAGGGGTGGACGTAGAAGTGAAAAAGATAGGACAGCTAAAACATCTTAGCAGATTCTGGAAGTTTTTGAGATTGATCATTAAGGAGTTTTTAAACACCTCCTTACAATCTTGTCACTCCTTTCCCCCACTTCCTCCCCTTGAGTCAAGAGGGTATCTCTGTGTGGGGATCCCAAACAGCCTGGGTTTCTCTATTAACCCCTTTCAGCCCAGATCAGATTAGGAAGAGAGTGTTTTACCCCCTCTCCCCTGCCCGCAAATTCACCTTCCCCCACCTGGCTATAGGAAGGAAGGGGAGGGGCAGCAGCTACAGCCTGGAAGTATCTTCCAGCACACAGCCATGGGGAGTAAAAGGGGATGGGTCAAGGTAAAGAAGCCAGTCTATAGGGATGGAGTGGCCCCAGGAGACTGTTGGACCTGGTGAAAGGGTCTAGAAAGAAGAAAGATTTTTTATTGGGTCAATTGTATTAGTTATGTTGCTGGAAGGGCAATTTCTTTTATAATCTAGAATGTTAAATTAATTGTGTCTTCAAAAAAAAAAGGAGTCAATTTGGCTGTTGGGGCATTTTATATGATCCTGTTTTGTAACATTTCCTTTTAAATATTGTAATTCAAGGAAGTATAAAATTTTCAAATTTTGTCTCTATTGAAAGGGAATTTTCAGTTGAAATTGTTTTGTTATAATTTATAAAATTTGTGAGATTGTTAACTAAGTTATTTGGGGTTATTGTTTTAATATCAAAACCTAAGATTGTTAATTGATTACTTGTGTGTGAAAAGGAGGGGCACATGGCAATTCCCCTTATTTTGTAAACTTGCCAGGATCCCTGGAAACTATGGGGGGGGGCAAGGTCATCTGCCCTAAAAAAAAAAATGCAGCTTCCATATGTTTGTTTGACATGTGGCATGGGAAGGAAATTTTCTTAATTGAATGGGTTGTAAATTCAATAGAGCGGGAGGGTGTCAAAGTGTCAGTTGAAATTATAGACCAAGATATCTGTGTTTCTTTTACCATTAACATGACATAGCATAGTCTATGTCCATAAGATACCGAGATAAGAAAAGTCCCATTGTTCTGGAGAGT